AAAAAAATATTAGACATTTAGAACTCTTTTTGCTATATAGACAAGTTAACTGGCAGTGAAAAAGGAAGCTGGTTATTCAAGCAAGTCTAAAGTCTTGTCTACACATGGTTTTTGTGGTATTATAACTCTATCCCCAGGGGTGGATGCAATTCTTCAGATAAAAGCATGTTTGTATTATGATAGATCATTTTTGGAAATTTACAGAAATACAAGATACAGATAGACAATTAGACATGTCTCCTTTGTACTGTTACACCTGCGTCTGTACTAAGAGGTTGCGCTGATTCAATGATGGTCTTTAAACCGATAAAGTGAAATCCTGGCCAAAAATTGTGTAGAGCAGCAAGGTCAAGTAAGAAGCAGAAGTGGGTGCAGCAAGGACACAAGTGTTACATACATTCACCTGTCTGAAGTACCCAACATTCATAGACCTTGTAGCTCTCACACAAGGGAATGCAGTTGGAGCACATTTTCAGCTGCTGCTTGTTCCTCCAAAAGACAAGGTGGCTTTCTGATAGTCATGGGCTCATTATGTAAAAATGAGTTGTGGAGAGAGGAACAGCCAAACTGGTATTTATAGCTAAGGGGTCAACAATGAAATTAAATCTCTTTAAAAGAGCCCCCCAAACCTCCTGGAGTTCGAATGGTGGCTCAGCTTGACAGCTGCCATACTAAGCTGATTGTTTTTCCTTTCACATTACATTAGAAATTAAAGGAAGACATAACATATCCCATTTTCTAAACAGAAGCTATGCATCCAAACAACTACAGAATTTCCAGGAAGGGTGACATCGGTGTATTACAGTGATTCTCAAACAGGGTTATCTTTTCCAAGGTGTCACATGATGCCACACAATGTTATCACTGTTAGGTGTATAAACCTGATTCACAAGATAAACCCTGAGCTTTCAAATAGGAATCCATAGCATTATAAATATTTTAACAAGGGATGCCTTGAGTCTGAAAATGTTGAGAACCACTGGTATATTAAAATATAACGAAACACAGAAACATCTATTTATTATAAGAATAATTTTTGCCACTCTGATCTAGTCTGTTGGGAATGGCCTTAAGAGTCACGCTTGCACTGATATTAGTTTGCTTAATTATATTGAGCATGTTGCTTACCCTTTTTGTGTCTCAGTTATCCCATCAGTGAAATAGGGGTGAAGTGCATCCAATCTTGCAAAACTCGTGAGACCTGCAGATGCAAAACTGCAGTAAATGTGAATTACTAGTAACATAAGCAAAATGAAGACAAACTACATCAGTCATATATCACGTGATCTCAGCATATGGCTAGAGCTGATTTTTCTACAGCTCTGTTTGTTTATTCAGTAGACTGTGGTACTTGCTAAATTAAGAAAGCATTGTAGTCTGATATGCCTAATACACATAATAAAAAACTGTAGCTGCTTACTAGATCTGCCAAAAAACCTCTAAAGCAGCCATTTAAATGTCCTGTATTTGGAAAACACTTTAATTATTTATCATCACCACTACCATTGTTTTTATTTAGTCAAATCCCAAAGTCCTTACTCAGCTCTTACTTAGAAAATTTCCTACTGGAAAGAATGTAGGCAGACAAGGTTTTTTGGGTAAATCTGAGATCTTTTATTAGACAAACTAAAAGTTGGTCTAATAAAAGATCTCAGATTTACCAAAGAACCTTGTCTGCCTATGTCCTTAGACCAACACGGCTACAACTTACACCCCTATTGGAAAGAATAGCATTTTTGTCTGAGTAAGAACCTCAGGAATTGGCCTATTAAATTGCTGATTACTAGTTAATTAGTATTATCACCACAAAATTAATTTTCAGCCCCTAAACTCTGGCTAGATAAAGTACATCTAGGCAATGAATCTTTAGATAACTTGTAGTGCACTTATTACTGTGTTATCCAGGTGCAAATTGTATTGGTGCCTGTTCGTATTTGCATGTGAACCTGTAAAACTGTATTCCCCTGAAACCAGTGGGACCATATTAACAAATAAGGCTTTTCACCTGAGTGACAGTTTCAGGACTAGTCCCATAGGAAACAAGTGTACTGCAGCTGCAGAGCTTTAGAAGGCAGCAGATATAGAAAATCTAATCCCTGGGGTCAGGGTGCTTGGTTCCAAATATGCAATCAGTGGGAGTCACGGTGCCTCTTGCAATGGAACATGACCTAAATGTGGTCCGATTAGGCTAAACTGCAATATTTCACTATTCAGGGATATGTATTCACCAGTTGCCATGAGGGTTTTTGCTTGGAAGCATAGATTAAGAATATTTCTACCTACTACAGCTGATTTAGTGGGCCAAAGAAGGAGGGGTATGTTGTATGTGCTTCCTGTCTGCTAGGCAGGGCTGGATTTACCCTTTAGTAGGGCCTAGGCAAACAAACTCATGGGCCCCATGCCAGTCAAGACACCCCTCCCCACCTCAGTGCTGCTGCCCGTGGGGAGTGGGGCTCAGAGCCACTGCTAGGAAGGAGCTGCGGCAGCAAGGCCAGTGGAGGGGAGGAAAAGGAAAGGGAAGGAATGCGGACAGGGCCATTCGTGCCACTGCTGCAGACGAAGGACTGCGTCCCCCCTCCCACCCTCCACAGCTCAGGGCCTTAGGCATGTGCCTAGTTTGCCTATAGGTTAATCTGGCGCTGCTGCTAGGTAACCTGGGCCTAGGTCATTCAGAGCTCCGCAGACTGGCCTTGTCCAGCGCTTTGAATTTCATCCTGAAGTGGATTGGGATCAGCAGCCAGCACAGGGTATGGATCAAACGCTGCAATGGGTCAGATTCTGTGGTGCTCGTGGAGGCACAGCCCAGAAGTAGGCAGTAAAACCTCATGCCTACGTCATGCCTCCTGCATTCTGACCTGACCTGGGGCAAACAAGTTAAAGCAGTAACCAGCTGCCTAACTGGAACTGCCAGAGCCTGCCCTGGGCTGCCTACGGTTGCACTGCAGCCCAGAATCCCTGTAATGCTCAGTGTACACACCAACTTCTTCCTGTCCCAAGCCCTGCTCCTAACAACTTCCTACACTGGACCCTTTGCTTATGGTGACTCTGCGCTATGCTATCTTCAGAGAAATTCTCCCCCAGCCCACTGCAGCACTTCGGCAGCTTGTATGTGTTGCAGAGCAGCACAAAACAGCAGCAGCTGAGAACAGACTCCATTCAGTGATTTTCCCTCTTTCAGGAAGCGGGCTGTGCCCCAGCCATACCTTCTGCGTAGCCGCCAAAGTTGAGTTCTCCAAGGTAGACTATGTTGCAGCAGGCTGGCCTACTGATAACAAAGGTGGGGACAGTCATGACAGGGTCTTTAGCTGAGATGAAATGGCATCATTTGTCCATGAAAACGTTTAGTAACTCCCATCCTTTGACGTAACTCACAACACATCTAAGTGCTCGCTTAACAGGCAGGGTCATTGTTGACAGATATTACAGTGTGTTGGATAAAAATGTACATCCAACACTACCTCATTTTGCTTAGGAAATTGTAACTATAGTTCCATTTCTTAGATATTTGCCTCTTTGTGAAGTGCCTGACATGTACTTGTTCCCTAGACTTGATCACATTTTGCATTTGACTAGAGCTGCTTTGGATGAAAATAAAATTGTATTTTAAATTCTATTGGTGAATTGACAATACCGAAGCAGCCGTAGGGCATGTTGTTTTTATCCTTGAAGATGCCAGGCTTAGGAGAGGAACAACAAGAAAACAAACCAAATGAAAAGAAGGGATCAAGCATTTATGTGGATAACAAGAATGTTGAGAATTATAGTAGTAAGGACCATAAATAGAGTTTGGTGCGGGATCTAGTGCTTCAGGGGTATAAATTAACAAATGGGGGTCAGGAAAAAGCATTTCCTGTGTGCAGGCTACTCTGAACTGCTCTGCTGGGTTTTTCCTCCGTTGCAGCTGGGAATGAGCCCAGTTAGAGAGAGTATACCAGGTCAGATCTGCTGTAATCTCTAATGGCAATCCTATCTTCCCAGACAGGCAGACACTGTACAACTCTGCACGTCTTCGTTTTGTCACTGTTAGGGCTTGCCTTCACTGCTAAAAACATGTTTGTTTTATGTTTTGGTTTTTTGCCTTGAGGTGAGTGATTACAAGGTAAAAAATAAAGACCAGACATTTTAGTTCTACCATGAGGGATGTACCTTGATTTTAGTGAACTTTGAGGAGCATCATAAAATTTTTGCTCCCTCCAGCTCTTCTGTTGCAAAGGAAGTGCTTGGTCTTGGTCCTTGCTTAGAGACAAGCAATTGTGCCACTTTACATGGTGGTTTTGTAATGTGGAGAAACTGGCATCAGGATGAGATCACACTCATTCTGTCTTCTGACCTGAAGGAATGTGAACTCTTTGACCTCATAAATATGCATAAATTGGCAGATATTATATTAGTTAAATTACTTTGCAATAATACATTCTATTTAGCACTTACAGTATATCATGCTTTTCATTCACTGAGCTTAGTGTAATGCACCAAAGTGAGCTAAATAATTACCAAATGATGAAACAGTAATGTATTTAAACTACATTTCTGTCCTCTTGCACAAAAGTAAATCTGCACATTATTTGGCCAGTTGCAACTCCTCTACAGGAATTGGCAGTAAATGGTACCATAGAATCATAAGAAACAGAGAAATTAAGGGCTGGAAGGACCTCGAAAGATCATCGACTCCAACCCCCCTGCTCTGGGTAGGAAAACTGCTGAGATCGAATGATCCCAACAACGTGTTTGTCCAGTCTCCTCTTGAAGACTTCCAAGGTTGGGGCTGCACCACCTGCTTGGGAAGTCTATTCCAGATTCTGGTCACCCTTGACATAAAAAAGTTCTTCCTTCCATCCAACCTGAAACCATCCTCTAACAGTTTATGGCCATTGCTCCTCATCCTCCCTTAGGGTGCCCTAGTGAACAGTTTTTTCTCCCAGCTCTCCTGATATTCACCCCTTACATACTTATAGACCACCACCAAGTTCCCCCTCAGTCTTCTCTTCCCCAGGCTGAGCAGTCCCAGATCCCTTAGTCTTTCCTCATAAGGTTTGTCCTCCAGGCCCTTAATCATTCTTGTGACCCTTCTCTGCACCCTTTCAAGATTCTCCATGTCAACAAAATAAAAGAGGAGACATGGTACTGAAAAATGGTAGTGCTGCATTAAGAACAAGAGACAGATGATCTTAGGGTATACCAAGGGAAGGGTATTGAGGGCCCCAGAATCTATAGGGAATGATGGCTTCCAGCCTCATGGATCCAGCTAATGCAGGAAAGTCACTTGAATCTCTGAGACAGATCTTATCCTGCATGCATAGCTGTTGTCCTTATGGCTGTAATGGAGTTCCCCTCTCCTGGTGCACCATAATTCCAAATGAACCATGTAGAAATTGGTAAATTGACAGCTGTGTACCGATCACAGAGGGGCCCACTCCCAGAGTGATTTAGTCTGCTCTAAGCAACATTCATTCTTGATGTTATTTCCATGCAGGAATCCAGGAGGTCTGCTTTGCGTTTTCCTACCTCAGCTCCACCCCACAAAATCTGGCTCCAAAAGGCTTCTGTGATATTGTAGGGGAATCAGGGGCACAGGTGGTGGGGGGGTGGGGGGGTTCACAAAGCAGCATTCCCTCCTTCAGCATGGATAATGGAGAATCCACTTGTAGAAGATCTCATTCATGCATGTCCAATATGAGGAAAGAGCAGGTGCTCACACTCATTAAGTAGTGCAATACACAAGGGGACTGAGGTCTTGGTACTAATCTACCACACTATAGCCTGACTCATTGCTACTACATGGGCTGGAACCTAATGCAGCACAAAGTAGGCCTGATCTGTCTTGAGATACCTGGTGCTAAATCTTCCTGAGTAGGGAACCTTCTGTCAGCAGAAAGTCTGGCAAGGATGTCTGTATCATCAGCTGCACACTCTTGCCCACTGTAGGAATACAGAAATACTGGAGGTACGTTGTAGTGTACCAGGGACACAGTAGGGACTGGGGAGCAGTAGGATAGAGTAGTGTTTCTTTCCACATCTTCCACCACTGACATAATGCGAATGTGAGTTAGACTTGCTTTTCTGAACCTTTAACTTATGCCAGGGTCGGGTATTTCAGAACCAGGGAGCTGAACAGACCCCTGACAGCCCCCAGTCTCCACTGTGCAACAGCTGTGCTTGAGTGGGCTGGAAAATCTGTCCCAGTATGCCTTATTGAAGCTCAGTTTCAACTGAAGGAAAAAAACTCACTCATCAGGGTCATTGCAACAATATCTTAACCTGATTTTTCTTTAAATAATACATTTTCTTTCTCTGGTGGGTTTGGATGCAAACTCTGCAAGCAAAAAAATGACCATAAGTATGGTACATGCACCATCATGTTTAAATGGTAGCCATTTGTTAGTGTTACTCCAGCTATACTGAACATAATTATTTTATACCATTTTCAGGATACAGCTGCATTGTGAAGAATAGAGGAGTTCTTTCTAGTACAACAACAAAGCTAATATTTTGCTTTAAGGATCAATCTAGGAGCCAGTCCACCCATGTTGTACCCACTGATTTCAGTAGCATAGGGGTCTGACCTATTAAAACATGAGTATTTCTACATCTCAGAAACATCCTCAAAGAGAATAATACAAAAAGCAGCTTGGGAAAATGTTGGTACATTATGAATAAATATATTTTATCATCCTAAATCAATATCTCATCCTAAGCCATTTTATTTTGAAGGTATCTTTAGAGCACTTGCAAAATATATAGAGAATATAATAAGTACAATTTATTAGATTGGCCTTAGTGCATACCACAAACAAAATGCCTTAATGTATTTACAGGATATGTTTGTGCTGTGTTGTAAATAATTTAGTTTTTCATTTGATCTCAGAAGCTTTAATGGGCTTCATGGTCCAAATCTGCAATAGTCAGCAGCTGTAATGTGATAAAAAAAATGTGTTTTAGTTGTGTATTTGACACTTTAAGTGCCTATGGGCTGACATTCATTATTGGCACAAGTAAAGTTAGCTTCCAAGCTACCAGGGAAATCACTAAAGATAATACAGATTGAGGAAATTCTAAACATTTCAAATAAGGAAAATGTGAGCATTTTCTAGGTATACTATATGTGTCTGATATTTCACTTTTTGTAACATGCATTTCTAAGGGAGATGCCAATATACTATATATAATACATACATATTTTAGCATTACATGCAAAAATAGTATTGCTCCTTTAAGAATGAACAGCAAGGGTCATTATCCCACATCCCATATTCACAGGAGGAATGTTACTGACTCCTGTAAGGGTACTTGGGGAAGGAGAAGTTTGTGGAATCAGGTCCAAGTTTGGCTTGCTTCTTATAGCAGAGCTCCTTTGGGAACAAGCAAGCAAAGAGGCTCTTTATTCCTTCAGAATGTGTGGCTTTATCCTCTGTAACCTTTACTAGGGTGGGGATTCGTATACCTGACTACTCCTAGGGGAGTGCCTGCACAGCTGTTAGCTGGCTCACACTGCCCTAGGCAGCTACCCAAAGAGTAAGAGCAAACCAAGAAGTTTCTAGACTTCTACTGTAATTACTCTGACTCCACAAAGAATGTGAAGGGTTATTACCCCAGGAAATACTGGTATGTGTACAGCTCCTCTTTCTTAAATGAGCTTGAGGGAAGTCTAGTCCTGTTCACACTGAAGTTATTTTTTAATGCATAAAACAGAGTTAGCTAAGGAACATGACAAAAAAATGTGACCAAAACTGACACCTTGATTAATTGTTTCTATCCAGCTGTCTCAATCCAGTGGATTTACAGAGAATAGAGAAATGACAGATCAGCTCCTACTGCTGTCCCATGTAGATCCCCTCAAGATAATACATATGAAAAATGTACATATTTAGTCACCTGCATACAAGTAGAAATCCATTGCCCTATGCACACACAAGACGTGTCTAAATTACAACAGTCGTCAAGAAAATAAGAGATAAGTGCAATATAAAACATAGTCTATTCACTACATTTAAGCATAAAGAACACGGCCTTAAAACAAATCAAGTTAACACCAAGCAATAACTAATAATCAAACAGGTTGTGCTGAAAAGAATGAAAAAAATCAGGTTTATCATTGCAAGTCAAAGATTCACATCTGCAAGTTCTTGAGGATCTAAAAAAAATTATAATTAACATTAACCGAAGTTCAATCCACTTTTAAACTAACCAAGATTTTGTTTAAATGGCACCACCTTCCCTAGAACAGATCCTAAGTTCCTGCTTTTGAATAGTAGAGCCACTTCCTTCAATCACACATTGGACTAGGTCTTACTATGTCTTGTGGGCAGCATTAGAATCCAATCTCCAGCTGATGCACATCAGCCTCATTTCCTGATGAAAGCAAGTTTTATACTGCTGCTGAAGTTATGGGTATTCAATTCAGCTGTCCTTTAATAAGAAAACAGCATGTACAAGACAGAGCTTTAATATTAGAACTAATTGATCGCTAACAATTGAATTAGCATGTATATTTTCTTGCTATGGGCCAAGTAATGCATAATGAAACCTGTTAAACAGCATAATCTTTTTGAGCCCTGGGCACCTACTAAACCATCTATCACAACAATTTTTTTAAACTTATTTCAAGGGCCAAATCAGCTCCGAATTCTATTAGGCAAAGCCAAGTTCCAAATTGCAACTGAGCAGAACTTCATCATTCAAGTCTGTGTGTGTGGCTGTACTAATGGTCAAGTATCCTTCCTCCAGATCCATAAGTCTTGGGCTTCAGATATTCCCCAGATCCATGGCAGGTATCCCATGTGCAAGTCCAGCGACCTTGGGATTCAGATTCTCCCTAGTCATGCATGTTTGCATCTAGTCAAAAGGCTGAGAAGCAAGCCACGTTGCCAAAGAATTGTGCAGTCGAGTTTCCTGCACTCAGAAAAACTCACAGGGGTCAGCCTGCCTGGAGTATAATTCTCTCTCCCTGGGATAACCACCTTGGTGATCATGGCATCTATCTCCCCTGCCAGTTAAGTAATTGCTACCACCACAAATGCTGCAGAGTATTCAAACCCAGGGAAGTACACTGAGCTTGGCTTTTCCAGGACTTGGAGCTTTACTCACGACAAGGCAATTTCATTTTACAGTGAGGCAAACTAGCTAATGCCCACCTTTGGCAGGGGAGGAATATGGGCTGCCCTTCCCTGCTTTATGTTACAATAATATGGAAAGGCCTTTTTCTCCACTAGGCTTGTACAGTAGTACAGCTAACTGCACATTAATTACACCATAGGAAAAGTACAGTTTTTATTTAGCTGTGAAAATAAAGCCAAAATTCAGCAGAAATGTATTCCTTATACATTGTATTTAGGCCTCACTGTTTCTCTCTGCATGAACAACCCAACCGCATCTTGTACAGACCCAATTTCCTCCTTCTACATGTAGTGCTGAGAACCAGAGTCCTGCTGCCTGCCCCTCTTCCCAGGACGAACTTCTTTCTCTTGTGCATGAGATTGGTGCGGCTGCACAAGGCTCTTGAAGATATGGGCTACAGAAATAAAATGGGTGGGTCTAGTTGGTCTTGTCATCATGTTTAGTATTGCACATGCCATGACGGTGATGCATAGTAAATGATGAGTCTGGTAGCATTCACTGATAAACCGGTCAGGCAAAGGGCTCTCCAGAGTAGGAATTCAGTGGAAGGTATTTCACATATGTCAGAAATAATTCAAGGGTGTAGAATGACTCACTGGAACTGGGTGAATAATAACTCAGACTTCATTTTCAGTAGACAAAGGAAAGGTAAGCAAAAAGCTTACGTCTGGCATATCTGGGGAAGAACACATTCATAATGGTAGGAATTGTATTCTAAGTATTGGTCACCATAAACGCATCAGTTTGTTTTCATATGAAAAGTGACAAATCACTTTCTGAACACAGGAGTCACATATGCCAACACAGCACAGGCACCAGTTTGCTGTAAAACAGAACTCTGGTTTGTACTGGACAATATAAACTTTACCGTGTAAACAGCCAAAGAGGAGGCTCAGACAGGTGCCCAGTCAGGAGTACTTCATCTGACTACACCAAGAAACAGAAAGAAAAGAGATATCCATGTGAGCAAGCCCTTGTTAAGCAAAATAATATTGTACAGAATCAACAAAAGAACAAACTTCAAAGCAGGCCTGGACTAATAAGATCAATCTCACAGTTATAAAAAACCTTCCCCTTCTAGTTGTAAGCTGTGGCCTGAAGATCACTGGTAGTCCACATGACCTTATTAAGAGGTTCACAGTCAGCCCATGGATCACCCCAGAGTCCACATACCTTTATGCTATTTCCAGTGGCAAGTGTGATAAAGGTATATGGCGGCCTGTAAGAAATGTTGAGGGTTGATGATTGTCCACTGGTCCAAAACACTTGTGAACCACTTCTCTAATTCATTCCCCAATCCATTCCCCCTTTCCTTCCCATTCATCATGGTTGCAGGCAGTTTATACACCCAAAAAGGGTAACAGAGAAAACCTGAAGAACAGCTTCCTGCGAGATCAAAACCCTTTATTTCTCCTACTCCATTTTTCAGATAGACTTTTATTCTTAAGCTCTTAGGACAACATTCCTTTTAGGCAGTATGAATGACAGCTTACCAACTCCTGCTTCCTCCTGTTTATTTCCAGATCCCTTCCTGACCATTTCTTCTTGGAGAAATATTTTTGGCAGCTGTTGCAGGGTAAAACTGGCTATATTCCTAGTCTTTAAATCAAGCTAAAATCCCTCTCTGTCCTGCTTGTGTGTGGGGCTTGCACCCATCACAGAGCTTTCTGAAATTTCCTATTTGTCAGTCAGTATTGACACATGACAAGTCCTCAACTGCTTGGGCAAGTTCTCTTATTTGTTATGATTTTATTTAATTAAAGGCCCGTTTCTCATGTTGCCCTTACAATATCCCACTCAGTACTGACTGTCCTCACCTCTTATTGGTGGTGCCCAGCATGATCAGGCCTGAATTTGGGAGATGTATCTGTGGAAGGGTCATTGGAAGAAGACAGTGGTATTCAATGAGATATCTTTCCTACCCAGGGCATAGTGGAGTGCACTTTTTCTTCCCCTAGTAGATTCCTCTCTCCTGAAAACAAGAAATCTTTTCATAGATGAAATATTTCAGGAAGGCTTTAATGTTTCTTTACAGTCACAATCAAAATGAAGTCAGGAATGTATTAAATTGACCTCTAATTAGTATAATTAATGTAAAGAACAAATTGGGTCTGGGAAAAGGGATTGTTGTAAGCTAAAATTTATAAATTAATTACGAGCTTAATATTTGTCACCTAGTCAATTCTGGTAAGGAAGACTTTAAGCTAGATTTCATGGGGGATGGTGAACAAAACCCTGTAGCAACAGAACAAACCATACAGAGAGGAAAGGACTGAAAGCAGCAGCTCAACTCCGAGAAAGGGTCAGAGAGCCACATGAGAGCAACAAGCAATGCAAAAAGGAAATAAGTAAGTCAAAATGTAAAATATATCTGATATACATATATGAATGTGATAAGTATGAGGAACCAACATGATGAGCTGGAAGCCACAGCCTAGGAAAAGGTTGGTATCACAGAGACCTAGTGGGACAGCTCTTATGACTAGTATGTCAATATTGATGACTTTGTTTTAGAAGGACAAGTTTGGGAGAAAAGGTGGTGGTGTTACCTTGTATGTCAAAAACATATTCACTTGTCCCTTGGTTCAGGAGGAAGATATCAGATCAGAATGTATGTCGCTGAAGATAAAAGGTATAAGATCCCCACCAATAAATCAGTTCTGTATCTATCATAGGTCACCAAGTCAGAAAGAAGAGGTGGATGAGATGCACTTCAAAGAGGTGACAAAAATGTCCAAAAATTTTGAAATGGTACTGTTGGGAGAGTTCAATTTTCTGGTCATCTGCTGGAAAAACAATATAGTTAAACATAAAATGTCAAGCCAGCTCCTAATTTGTGTGAACAACTTTCTGTTCCAGAAGGTTGAGGATAAACCTAGGGGATCATTTATCTTGGAACTTGTCCTGACCAATAGGGAAGAATTGGTGGAAGATGTGAAGGTAATGGGAAACTTGGGAGGAAGCCATCATGATATGATAGAATTGAAAATCCTAAGATGGGGAAGACACAAGGTCAGCAGATCTAAGATGCTAGATTTCAAAAAGGCGGATTTCAACTGAATCAAGCAAATAATAAGAATGGTGCATAGGAAGAGAACCTGAAGGATAAAGGTGCCCAGGAGGGTTGGAAGTTTCCAAAGGGCACAGTATTGGAAACCAAACAAGAAACTGTTCCAATACAATGGAAGCACAAGAAGAATGATAAGAGATAAATGTGGTCTCACAAGAAGCTTCTAGGATTCCTCAAATGCAAAAAGGAAAGCATATAAGCAACGGAAAAAATGGGCAGGTCACCAAAGGAACACACCAGAAAAATACCGAGAACGTGCAGGAACAAAAATAAGGAAGGCAAAGGTAAAAAATGAACTGCAGCTGGCCAGGGAGGTTAAAGACAGCAAGAAAATGTTTTATAAGTATGTTGGCCAGAAAAGAAAGACCAAAGAAGCTGTTAAATAGACAAGCTCAACTCTTAACAACAAATGGAAAGAGAGCAGAGGTGCTCAACAGCTATTTTACCTCAATCTTCACAAAAAAATTAAGCTATAGCCAGACATCTAATAAGGATTATTTGGATAAGGAAAAGGGGACAAGCAGAGGGAGGAAATAACAAAAGAAACAGAGAACATTTGTTGGGCCTGAATTAAAGTCAGCAGGGCCTGATGAACTTCATCCTAGGGTGCTGAAGCTACTGTCAAAGGAGATCTGAGGGAAGTTGTGGGAGGCAGGCAAGGTACCAGAGGACTGGAAAAGGGAAAATATAGGCATAATAAAAAAGGAGGACCTGGGGACCTAGAGATTGGTTAGCCTCACTTCAATATCCAAGAACATACTAGAGCATATCATAAGGAAGTCCATTTGCCTCTGGAGCAGCTGATCACAAACAGCCAGCAATGATTTGCTAAGAATAAATCATGCCAAACAAACCTGATCTCCTTCTTTGACAAAGTAACTACTTGAGTAGATGAAGGGACTATGGATATAATATCACTGGACTTCAGCAAGGCTTTTGACAAAGTCCCACATGGTCTTCTCATAAACAAATTGGTAAAATTTGGGCTAAACGAAACTACTATCAGGTGGATAGGCAACTGGATCAATAGGTGCAAGCAAAGGGCAATTATAAACAGATAGAAGACATTTCCAATGAAGTTTCAAGTAGCGTCCCACAGGGAACTTGAGTCCAATGCTGTTCAAAGTGTTTATTAATGATAATGATTTGTTCATTATTATCTGGATGCTGAAATAAAGAGCTTCTTGAGACATTTGCACATGACAAAACTGGAAAGGACAGTGAACATGTTAGAGGATAGGAGTGCAATTCAGATGGATCTTGACAGACTGGAAAGCTGGACTGGAGCTAACAAAATGAAGTTAAATGCTAGCAAATGCAAGGTGATACACCTCAGGAAGAATAATATAAAATACAGCTACAAAATGGGTGACACCTGACTGGATGGCATCACTATAGGGAAGGATCTGGGAGTCTTGGATCACAATTCAATACAAGCCTGCAGTGTGATGCAGCTGCACAAAAGGTGAATACAACATTGGGATGCATTAATGGAGGCAGTAGGTGCAAGGCATGGAAGGCCTCATCTACAGTACTGTGTGCAGTTTTGGGCTCCATATTTTAAAAATGACACGGAGAGGCTAGAGGCAAGAACAAAAATGATAAAGGGCTTGGAAAGCAAGTCGTATGAGGAGAGGTTGAAGGAAATAGTCATGTTTACCTTGCAGATAAGCCACTCAAGAGAGTATATGATCACAGTCTTCAAATATCTGAAGACCTGCCATAATGAAGGGAGAAAACACCTTTTCTCTCTGTTCCAGAGTAGGATGCAGACCAACGGCTTGAAGTTGCAGCCAAGTAGACTTAGACCAAATATCAAGAAAAACGTCCTCACTGTTAGAACAAGGCAGTGGAATAGACCGATTAGGAAAGTTGTGGAATCTTTGTCATTGGAGGTGATAAAAAAAGAGGTTGGATAAGCATCGGTCATAGATGATCTAAGAGTAGCTATGCCTGTGTTCTGATATTTCCCAAACTTCTGGGCTTTGCTGGCTGTCACATAGGGCTGGGAAGGAATTTTTTCCAATCCTGCTACTACATGCATCAGAGTTCTGGGGTTTTTTTTCCAACTTCCTCAAAGGCATTGGGTGTTGGCTGCTGCCAAGGCTAGAAATGTTGACAGGGTGTGCCTGCTAGGATTGAAACCTAGAGGTTTCTGGGTAGAGGGTTTTACCCTCTGCTTAGGGTCAGACCTATAGCCATATTTGGGGTCAGGAAGAAATTTTACCTTATGGTCACATTAGGATGGACTGTGGGGTGGGTTTACCTTTTTCTTTAGCAGGGGCCCTCTTCCTTGCAACAGCAGAACATGAGCCACCGTGGTACCCCTGCTTTACCTGCATCGGGTTACAGTGGTTGTGCCAGGGTTTACTGTGTAGTTTTGCTAATAGGTTAGACAAGTGGTGCTCAACTTTTGTATATGATGGTTTGGATAAGGATGATCCTGCCTCTGGCAGCGGGTTGAACTAGATGAGCTCTGGTGGTCCCTTCCAACCTCCCGTTCTATGATTCTATTAAAAAGACAAAGGAAAATAGATATGAAAGTGAGAAGTAAAATAGAAACTTCATTGGAGGGAAAAAGGAAGAATGAGTGCAGACTTGACTAATGTTTTAAGACTATACTTTCAGGGATCATTACTTAAGGGGTTAGAAAGACTGTTTGCTATGGGGCATGATAACCAGCAAAGGAATCTGTACTTTGAGGTACTGATTAATTAACAATTTCCTTTGACCTGGGCCAAAACTCAGGATGTTGCCAACCTCCGCCACCTTCAGCATACTCCATGGAAAGCAGGAGATAAAAATCAGGCTTCAACTGAACCAGCGATAGTGGCTGTACTGATCAGGGGTGCTGATTTGATCCACTATAGAAAAAGGGTCCAGCCACCAAAAATGGTTTTTCAAGTTTAAGTTCAAAATATTCTTTAACTTCTGAGATGTTCTGGGATTTTGGTTTGTGTCAGCACTAGTAACTATTGTATTTATTAGAAGATGCTTGGCGTGGCTATTGGGGAAATCTGGGTGGGCTTGAAGCACAACCAGTTTTTGGAAAGTACGTCACCAGAAGGGCTTTGAAAAACTGAGAAAAGGCTGTGGTTATTCTTGAGACATTCTGGGGTGGGCTTGAAAGGAGAGTCCTGAAAGATCTCTCATTTAAGAAGGGGTGTGAGAGCCCCTTGATGCTGAAGTTAGTAGCCGCTGATGAAGTACTTCCAATATTTTTTGAGCAAAGTTCAAAATATTGTTTTTACAGTTAGTGCTTAAGTTACCTGCTGAAAGGCTGTGGATTTGCTTCTTTAGAGACAAGATTAATTTAGCCTGTAGTCTTGGCAGTCAAGTAATCACTGCTGTGACTCCACTGAACTCCCTGGGGTCAATTTGGCTCTATGAGAACAAGAAAGAAAGTGAACGTGAGCTTTAACACAAGTATTACATTATGAGAAAAGGCATGTTCTGGAGATGGGAGAGGAATGCAGATTAGTGTGCTGGAAGGTGTGGCAGGGAGAGAGGTATGCGTGGGCTGTTTAATTAATATATTGCAAAAAACACTGATAATATAAAAGGTGGATGAGCTAAAGGACCAATGCAAAACACTTGCTTCAGAACAAGCTGCAGCACTAATATTACTGAGCTGCTGGACATTACTGAAATGTAGCCCAAGTGGGAACTAGATATGCACTAAATCTGTAAGCTTTGTGTGTATAATCATACTTTTGACACAGATATGGAATCCCATATATTAATATAAAAGCCTGTTTACTGTTATAGCCTGAAATATAAACTGACATTCTGATTCTCATTTCCAAGTATTTTATAATATTTTGTATCCCCGTAGTGCCTGATATTCATGGCTGTCAGAAAACTTACAAGCTGACAAGTGAAGAAAGGCAAAAAGCAGTTAATATACTGATTTTTAGAGATTTATTTGATTCTTATAGGAGCTGTAAAGCCCAGTTGAGAAACAAGCTCACAGTTCATGAGGAATCCCAAAATCAGTCCCTTCTAACTGAAATTGTTGGACCAGCCAAGAGGGAGTGATAGAGATCATGCAGCTGGCAAATATTAATTAGTTTGGCTTGGTGTCTAACTAGAAGCCCATGATTATATAAACTACTAGCAAATACACCAAAATATTCCAGACAAGAGACATGACAACTCAGTCTCATTTACATGTTTCATGACATCCATCCCAAAGGGCTCATAGGTGATTACTGGTACATTACTGCTCTTTCTACAGGCTAATTTCAGCGGTTTCATTCAGAACAGGATTCTTGGTCTGAAAGAATAGAACATTTGTAATCAAATGCACTTACCCAAGGCAGTACTTCCTAATGGTTTGAACAATCCCCAGTGAGTCTTTGATCCTCGGCCTGTTTCTTGGGCAAGTGTGGCCATTAAACCATTATGCCAGCTCTGACAGCATGCAGGGTCTGTAAACCCAGTGAAAATGTCATCTGGGAACTCCTTTATGTGAAGGGTTTCTCCAGGATGCGCAGATACAGGAGAATACCTTTATGCTGCTGTCCTCATTGCCACCACTATAAGGTTGTACAAGGGGTAGGTCTAGGGAAGAGGTACATCAAGAGAAAGAAGAGAATTATATTAAGGATACTCTGAACTGTCTGCTTTGGCAAACTGTAACACAACAGCTTTATGCTCCTCAGGTTGAAGGCATGGTATGTGTGGCATATCATTCTAAAATAAGATGGTTTCAGGATAGTGGCTTGGGATTAATTGCTGATGATTGTTTTACAATCTAAGAAACACCATGTTGCCCACAATAAAAAGATAGCTCTGAACTACATCCTTCAGAAAACGTTATACAGATAAGCAATTTGCAAAGGACATGCCTCTTATATCTACCACATGTGCTATAACACAAAATATGTCTACATAGCACAATGCATTGCTTCTCAGTGGGGCCAGTTCAAGCTGGCAGAACACCACACTAACGCAGCTAAACTGCCTCCAATACCCAAAGTGGCTTGTTCAGAGCTAGCTCAAGTACCCATGTATGGCACTGCATTGTACTATGTAGGCACACCCAAAGTCTACAGTAGACCGGTGATTCTCAACCAGAGCAATGTGACATACTGAGTTGCTGCAAGTTCATTTTAAGGGTGCTGCAGGGTATTGCGAAATAATAGCCTGATTAGATGTGCAAAACCCACATGATTCGCAAGACAAACCCACAGACTTCAAGTGTCAATCCATTGTGCCAAAAAACATTCTGACCTGCTGTGGTCTCTCTGAGTACTTTGCAATAGAAGAAATGTTCTGTTATTTTTCTATAGTAAAAAAAATCAGTGAAAGCTAAGAGCTAGCATTTTCTAAGGCAAGGGTGGGCAAAATATGGCCCGTGGGCCACATCCAGCCTGAGAGACCATTCTATCCATCCTGTGGGGCCCCTAAAAATTCAGAAAATTAATATTGATCTGTCCTTGGTTCATGTAAAAAATTACAGGAACCAGGGGCAGTAGGGCCCAGGGGAAGCCCGGTGGGCTTCTGCAACAGCAGGGCCTGCCCAGCCCCGCCCCTCTAGCCAGAAGCCCCAGCAGCAGCTTCTGGCCTGGGAGCGCGTGGCTGCCCCGGTGCAAGAAGCTCAGGTAAGCTTGAGGGGGTGGGGGGAAAGGGCAGGGAAGGAGCTGGTGCTGAGCACGGGGGAAAAGCGGCCCCTTTCCTGCCCTGTGGCCAGTGCCCTGCACTGCAGCTGCTCCCCACTGCCAGCCTGGGCCCTGCACTGGCTCCAGCCTTGCCTGTTGGGGCTGCACCATGGCAGCGGCAGCTGTGGCCCCCCTGCTTCCTGTGCTGGGCAGCATTGGGCAGTGTTTGCCACTGCTGCCTGTGGGCTGGGAGGCGTGTGCTCCGGGAGGGCAGCAACAGCCAACACTGCCCAGCACAGCAAGTGGGGGGGCCACAGCTGTTGCCACTGCAGCAAAGCACTGATGGGTGAGTCCGGAGCCGATGCACGGCCCAGGCTGGCTGCGGGGGTGTGTTACAAGTCCGTGCTGAGCACGGGGGAAAAGCGACCCTTTCCCCGCCCCGTGACTGGTGTTGTGCACTGCAGCCACTTGCAGCCCACATGGGGCTGCCTGTGCTTGCTCAGGACAGCCCTGTGTGGGCTGTGAATGGCTGCAGCAGGGAGTGTGCGTCACAGGGCGGGTGAGGAGATGCTTTTCCCCGCACTCTGCACAGCTCATCCTCTACCGGAAGCAGGGGGTCGGGGTGCATGCTGCCCCCCACCTGTACCATGGGGCTGGGGGGCACTGGGAGTGAGCGGGAGTGGGAGCACAGGGCCTGCACTGGTGTCCCAGTGCCAGTGCCATCATGGCCCAAAGTACGGCGGCAGGGGTACAAGGCCCCAGGCAGCAGGGACTCTACGTAGCTGGGCCAGCTCCCCCCTCTCCCTGCTGGTGTATCCCAGCCCGGCTCCACAGACCCATGCCAGCCCAGCCCCTCTCTGGGCCCCACCGGTGCTGGTCCCGGGACATTGGGACATTGGTCCCAAGATCGTGACCAGGGGGCGGGGCACCTGTCAAGGGGTGGGGCTACCCATGCAGCCCTCCCCAGCTTGCCAAAACTGGATAAGTGGCCCGCCACCCGAAATAATTGCCCAGCCCTGTTCTAAGGGATGCCTTGAGTCTAATGATGGGTGCAAGTAGTTTGGAGTAGTCAATCGTTTATGCTATGTGATTTCTGAAACTAGGAAAGTTGAATGAATGCTTCAGAACACGAATGCCATGTGCCCCCAGAGGCTGAGGGGGCATGGCGAGCTCCCGCAGGCAACAGCAATGCTGTCGGCGGTGGGAGCATGGTGGCGGCAAGCAGTGAGCTCCCACAGATGGCCACAGCACTGTCAGCATTGTGGGGGGGAGTGAGGGGGGATGGCAAGCGCCAACTGGTGGTCGGTGACCACCCACAGATGCCAACACTGCCAGTGGCTATCAGGGACTGCCCGCAGACGCTGCTGGCGGTGTCGGAGGCGAGGAGTTGGGGTGGTGAGCGGCGACCACCCACAGGCACCGCCAACAATGTTGGCAGCGCCTTTTTGCAAGGGGTGCACTGCCAAGCTCATGGGGTGCACATGCACCCCCTACACATTGCCAATGCTTCAGAAAGGTGGCATGTCAGTTATTGTTTTACAGAAGTCCTTCCTGTCCAGTTCAAAAAGAGATTTGGGTGTCAGTCTCAGAGTTTGTTTCCTTTCCAACATTTCTGATTGGCCTGATTTGGGTCTACTTGAAAGAGTGAAGATATGCTTCTCAAGCGTGTAAAATTATGCAGCACTGTAATTAAATGTTAATTATTAAATATCATGCAATTTTTATTGTTCTTTTCTGGGTGCTAGCTAGTGCATCTTGCACTTCAGTCACTTCTCCCCAATTGACTCATTATGATAAAAATCTAATTGCTGGAAGAGAAGAACAAAAGTACTCAGCAAAAATAAA